AGATCTCACCATGTGAAGAAGAAGTCAAGCAATGTTCATGACATGAAAAGAAAATCACCTCAGTTGGATTTGAATTGTTATGCCAAACCATGCTGGGAAACGTTTAAAATCAGTTTTGAAAAGAAGAGAGAGAGAAAAGATAAAAGAGAGAGCCAAATGAGAAGCAGCAGCTCAGCTGAGGAAGGAGCAAATAGTCAAATCATATCTGCAGCTGTTCATGGGAGCAGAAGGGAAGCCTCCTCATAAACTAAATTACTCCTCATGAGGAGTATATATCTACTTGGAGCAAGGCAAATGAGACAGGAAATGGTAGATGAAGGGAGAATGTGTTGGAGAAAATATTGAGGGTAGGATAGTGTTTGGTAAGGGGGAAAGGCCTTTGGGGTGATTGTAGAGTGAATGAAGGGAGCTTTGATTCTTGAATGTTTATACCCTGAAAATCTCCTTGATCTTTAAGATGCTACTGGACTTGAATTTAGCTAATCATAGGGTGAGTTACTTTGTGTAGGAGAGTTAGAGAAAGACTTACATCTTGGCCTTGAAATAAAGGAGCTCTGGACCAAGGTAGTTACAGAAACCCTGGAACAGTCTTCTTTTCTCCTGGAGTTGAGTTTGAGGTATCAAAGCCTGAGTTTAAGTGGGAAGGATGTAAAATCTTTCTAAGCAAACACTATTTCACCAGTGAGGGCTGAGGTTTCTCACAATGCCTACCTGTTCATAGGAGAGGGGATGTTAAATTTTCAGAAAATGGTGCCAGTGAATTTGGGAAGAAATCTTGTTTCTTTTCACTGCTTCAGTGCATTGTTTGAAGCAAGAATTTGTATACCACATATCTGGACTGCTCAGAGCAGGAAAAAAACAGAGTTGCTAACTTTTGAAATAAAGAAGTCTGGTGTTTGCTGGACTTGGAGTGGATATATAGTAGGATCTAATGCAAGAGGGTTGTAATGGTGTCTAGCAGTTTTGGTAGGAATAAGAGGTAAAAAAGGAAAAGCTGAAGTTGGGGTATATATTCAGTTTTCTTGAGAACCTGAGTCAGTGCTGTAATTAATACTAGTTATACCAGAAAATGAATCCAGTAGCTGTTTTAATTGGTTTCACTGGAAATCACATTATTTATTCTATGCCTATTAGGATAAATTCTCAGGGATTGTATCCTCACCCAAGGGATCTTCCCTCATACTTAAGGCAGACAGGAGACAACATCCCCCTTTAAAGGCAAATGAAACTCTGACTTACAGGGTAGGCACAAACAAATATGAATTAGTGTTAGTAGGGAATGGGCTGTATGTAACTCTGTCATTTACAAAAATGGGAAACATGCCTTTACTATTAGAATTGCCAACTTCTAGATGGGCCTGGATTTCTCCAAGAATTATAATTGGTGTCTACACTACAGATATCATTTCCCCTGGAGAAAAGGGCTGCTTTAGAGTGTGGTCCCTGTGGCATTATACCAAGCTGAAGTTCTCCCCCTCCAGGAATTCCTGGAAATCTCCAGGAATATTCCAACCCAAAGGTGGCAGTCCTATTTACCATGCTGAGCTCCATTTCCCCCCTAGACCCCCCCTCCCTCAGTTGCTCGTTGGAGCCTCAATGGCAGAAAATAAGCTTCAAATAGCAGAGTGCAGTGAGGTAAGGGAGGGGGGAGAGTAGGGTCAACTCCCTAAACCCGTCAGTTTGATCTTTCAGTCCTGTGCATATTGAGTGGTTGTTTTATAAACATCTACAGTTTGCTCTCATATATGGAGAGCTGAATTAATCTTTTGTCATTTCTGCTTTCTCTAACATTTCCTATATGAGTGGACATTTTTCTCTTCATTATCATGCAGAATAGAGGATTGTAAGCCTTAAGCCTTTACCTTTATTTTTGTCCCTCACCATTCTGCAGGGTAGTTGCCAGGACAGCAAAACCCCAGCCTCTGCTTCTCGCTAGAGATGGGCATGAACCAGCTGACAAACTAAAGTTTGTGACAAATTTTGGCTGGTTTGTGGTTCATGAAGCAATGTTCACAAACTTTCACGGATTTTGATGTGGTTTGTGGTGGTTCACACTGCTCATTGCAGCCCAGCTGTTTGATTTAAATGCCCCCCTGCTTTCTGCTCCCCATAAAAAGCAGCAGGGAGTAGAAAGCAGGGGTTTAAACTTTAAAAGGCTCACAAACTGATATGAGCCTGGTCAGTTCATGAACCAGCCTCCCTGTTTGTATGCATTTGTGGTTTGGTTTGTGGTTCAGCCATGAACCACAAATCAAACCGCAAAAATGCAGTTTGTGCCCATTCCTAGTTCTCGTAGCTTTGTAGCCCTACTTGTCTGCTAGTTTGCTCAAGCAAAGATTTTTCCTTTTTCCTTGTCAGGGAAACATCCTGTCATGGGAAGGGCACATGTGAGAACTGGAGCTTCTGCCTCTATTCCTCCACCCCAGTTTTACATTGGTTGTGAGTGGATGATGGTGCTTCAGAGAATATAACAGATCACCCCAACCAGACCTCCCACAGTCAGTGATATGTACAGTGATTGGTATAAAGTTATACAAGTATGCATGGAAATGTTAGTTGGGATGATTCTGTTGTGGGAAGATAAGCTATCTGTTCTGGGTGGACCATTACCTTGCTGAGCCTGCATCTCCTGTCGCAATTGACCCTTTAGGGTTGCCAACTGCTCGGGGGGGGGAAGGAAACCAATCCCTTCCCCCTGTCAAGTCATAGCTGACTTAAGGTGACACCATAGGGTTTTCAAGGCAAGAGACATTCAGAGGTGGTTTGCTGTTTCCTGCCTCTGTGTCACAGCCCTGGTATTTCTTCATGGTCTCCCTTCCAGATACTGCCAGGGCTGACTCTGCTTAGCTTCCAAGGTCTGACAAGACCTGGCTGACCTTGGCTATCCAGGTCAGGGGACCTGTCCCTTTAATAAAATCTTTAAAAAGGTAAAGGTTTCCCTTGCTGGGAGGCTAATTACCAGGTACTGTTATTTCTTTCCATACCCTGAAAAGCTTCAGCTGCCCATGTCTAAACATTAAGACTTTCCCTATTGAAGGGACAGGACATATTTTTCTATTACCCTGTTGGCAACCCTACTCCCATTGCTGTGCCACTATTTGCCCCCCCCACACACACACCTGTGCTTTCTGCTGCTGCTGCAAATAAAATAAGACTTCAAGGCACCAAAATAAATGTTCGAATAAGGTTGCAGACTACTCTCAAATGTCAGACGCAATTCTGTTCTGTTTAGGATCTTTACAAATTGGGCATAGTTCATGTCACATCATGTTTAGCAATTTTCTGACTGTTCATTCTTATTATTTTGTGGGCCTAGTTTGGATCCCAGTGGTTTCTGATGAAGCCAAATACAAAGTTTGTTCACCTACCCTTTCACAAAGAGATGCTGGCTAGCAAAGCTAGGGAAAGGAGCAGTAAAATTATAAAATATATTGGCATCTAAAATTATAAATAGGATCTAAAAACTTTAAAATACAGAAATAATAGAATCAGAATTTTGATTAAAAATTGGGTTTAGGCCTATTCCTGTAATATTGTAAGGGCCAGTTGTGTAACAAAAGATATATGCACTTGTCTCTGTGTTTGAAGCCACCCTGAGATCCAGATGAAATGTTGGTTCAGTACATAAATGAAGATTAAAAGCAATTTGTGACATCTGTTTCATTAAAAAGTTGAACAATAATTTCATAAGAGTACATGGGTGTTTAATGGCATTTATCTTTCATATGTTCCCATTTAAAAACTATGTTCTTTAATCCATAGTTTGCTTGCATTCACAGATGCTCCTTTGCACCAAATCCCTTAAATAAGCTTTTAAACAATTAGTGTCTGTAGTCTTGATGTTTGCTGTGTTATCAAATGGATAAAGATAGATTTGATAGACATTCTGGGGGAAATTCAATATGTAAATCATGATGAGTGGAGCAGTTTTTAACATTTGTGCCAGAGTGACTCAGAGTAGGAGGTAATCCTTCAAGTGTTGCAGTGATGCTTCATTAAAAAAAAAACTTGGTAAGACACTGAGAAAACCAAAACAGCTCTTATCTCAGCATTGTTGAAATACTGTACTATAGGGACTTTCTAAAAGGTCATTCTGTACTGTTATATTTTATACAACATTAAACAATTATTTTTTGTACAAAAATAAACTATTACGTTTTATATAGGGATGCTTGATAACTGCAAAATAGTAAAACTTTAATTATTTTTAATATATACACAAAAAGGTACATAGTTATGAGAAGCCAGAAATCATTTTCTCCTTAAAGCCGAAATAACTTAGTGGGGATTTCTTTTCTTTTTTTGGTACATGATGATTAGGAAATTGCTTGGGAAAAGAACGAGGTATGAGTTTCCAGAGAAAGAAACAAAATACTGCTTTGTAAATAATGTTAGGGTTGCCAGGCCTGGGTTGAAAAATACCTGGAGACTTTGGGAGTGGATCCAGGAGAGGGCGGGGTTTGGGGAGGGGAGGGGCCTCAACATGGTACAATGCCATAGAGTCCACCCTTCAAAGCAGCCATTTTCTCCAGGGAAGCTGATCTCTGTCAGCTGGAAATCGGTTGTAAAAGCAGATCTCCAGGCCTCACCTGGAGGCTGGCAACCCTATCTTTCATGCTGTGATTTATGAAATTTTGGGCCAGAATAATTCTACAAATGAAATTCTTGATATATTATTGGAAGTTTTCTATTTCCGCTATAAATGGTGGGAGAACATTAACAAGTCATCAGTTTTTTATTTGTTGGCATAGGTAGGCCAAGTGATCTTGTGGAATAATTGTACTGTTCTCATAACCCAGACATAACAGAATCACTTTAAGCAATTCTAAACATTCAGATGTTACGCATATGCTAGCTTTTTTTGCTGCTTCTTCAGAATTTTTTTATTTTTTTATTTTTGTGAAAGAGTTGAACTACCTCCAGTTTAGCACATTTCCACAGCTATTTGTGAAAGATAATTGTTTCAGATATACAGATACATCTTTTCTTTCTCATCGTAGGTCAAAGGATCTAATAAAGGAAGCTATTCTTGACAATGACTTTATGAAGAATCTGGAGCTGTCACAGATCCAAGAAATTGTGGATTGTATGTATCCAGTGGAATACGGCAAAGACAGTTGCATCATCAAAGAAGGAGATGTGGGTTCACTGGTGTATGTCATGGAAGGTATGTTGTGCAGTCAGTATATTTTGAGAGTTTTGTAGATGCTTTCCCTGGTGTCACCTTCTATGGAGGCTATGCAACATTCCATATTTGTTGGCGATAGTCTACAGAATTTTCCATACTAGTTTGATGAAGGGATGATATTTTCATGTAGATTTTAACTGTGGGCATGTTGTTTAATACTAGTAATTGTTACATGTGCAGTAGACGTCCCAGTATACCTTTTCACATCCCAGTTTGTTGAAGAATAATTTATATTTTGAATAACCCAACCAAACTAGGAGTCTTGCAAACTATGCCTCTTTGTTTAAGCCAAAGTAATGTGGTGTGATAATGTCCTCCTCATACCAACTCACATTCATTGTGCAGTCAGGAAGATCATGAGTTGAAGATGAAGTGTAGGAATGGAGTATGTGTGTTGCTGTATGATAGAGAATGTCCAGTGCAGATCTAGTATGCAGATTTATTGATACAGACGCAGCTGAAGAATTGCTACCTGTAAAATGCTTTTGTAAACTATTATTGTTGTGATACAACCTGATTAGAACAAAACTGCAGAACTGCTTCTGATATTTTACTGCACACTTGTTTTTGTCCAAACTAAATGTATATTTGAACCATTCCTTTGTGATATATTGAATGATTTCTAAATTGTGATCTGGGAAATGGCTTTAAAAACTCTGCAAAAGCACAGTTTGCTTTCATGTAACAAGAAAGAAACCATTCACCTAACCCCAAACAAGCAATATAAATGAGATGTATGTGCATTATTAATCCGACGTTTCTTTTGTTTATACTTTATTTTGTTTTTACAATTTATCTTTAGAAAATCCTTACTGCATCATTCATAAGAGTGCCACAAAGTTTCTGAGGCTCAGATCAGCATATGCCATTCAAGATTAGGGAATAAGAAAGGATAGATCTCCATTTTAACACAGTTTTAGTGAATATTGTCAACACTGCATCAGTTTAAGGAAGTCAATAACAATTATATTAATCTTTCTGTAGGGGGGAAGTTCTAGTTTAACACACTGCTTTTAAAACTCATTGATTCTGAAGCAAATTGTTATGTTTTCATCCTTAATTTTTATTACATAATAGGAGATGTTCTGTCACAGCAGGATATTTTATAAAAAGGAATTACTCTTTATAAAGGATTTAGGATAAATAATTGCATATGTCTTCTGTGTAGCAATTTAATTTCTGAGGTTGCGCTACACCTCTGAGAGCTGATTTATTCCTTTTGGTACTTTCAACATTTTTCAAAAAACAAATTGCAGTGCAGTTCCAGCCACTGCATTTTAAATTTTTAACATGTAATTTTCATGATGCTTAATTTGGAAGATACGTATACATGAAATGAAATGTTTTCATGAAGTGTTGCTTTTAACTGGTGATCAGATCTGTTTGTGATGACAACCTGCTACTACTGATTTCTAAGGAAGTTAAGAATGCTCACCTATTCCTGGTTTATTTCTTTTTTTCTTTTTGCAATGGCATTTACTTAAGAGCCTTTGGTGCATTGGCCATAAGTAAAGGTATGTAAAAAACTGATTGAATGAACTATTATTACAATAGATTCAGGTGGGTAGCCGTGTTGTTGCTCTGAAGCAATAGAACAAAGTTTGAGTCCAGTGGTACCTTTAAGACTAATGAAGTTTTATTCAATGTATGAGGTTTTGTTGCTGCACACTTGTATCTAGGAAGTGTGCATGCACATGAAAGCTCATACATTGAATAAAACTTTGTTTGTCTTAAAGGTGCCACTGGACTCAAACTTTGTTCTGTTATTACAATACTTAGTAGCAGTGTTCCCTCTAAGCTGAGTTAGTGTGAGCTAGCTCAGTTTTTTAGCCTCCAGCTTACACTTTTTCTTAACTCAAGAAGAATGGCTCCAGAACAAATTAATTTAGGTAGTAGCCAAATTTCTCACTCACAACTTTAACGTCAGTAGCTCACAAAGTAGAATTTTTGCTCACAAGACTTCACAGCTTAGAGGAAGTATTCTGCTTTTCTGACACCTCCCTCCCACTGGAGTCTTTGGAGCATGAACCAAGAAGACATTTTCAGCTTAAAGATTTCACTGATAAGATAATCTTAGCAAATCCTTTATTCACTCATTGAGATCAATGGGATGGAAAGGTGCTTTGCTTTCTTCAGACCATCTACCCTACAAAATTATTTACTTTTGGGGGGTTGTTTAAATAAAAGGTTACTCAGAATTCCAAGTTATGCTGTGAAATGTAATTTCATGCCAGAACCCTAATATTGTTCTTCAATCACAGGTGTTTGTATGTGTGTTTTAAACTGTTATCCTAAAAGCGTTTGTTTTTCCGTGCTTTTAAGGGTAAGCCCTTTGTCCAAAAGCAGGTCTGTTTTTCTTCTCCAGCTTTCTAAATGGATGCCCCCCCCCCCCCCGACTAGATTATGTTTGTGAACTTAATTGCTGGGTATGGGAAGTCAACCAGAGAAAGTTATTTTCTGTGCTGCTTGGAAAATAGCCCTTTAAAACAATACCCATTTTACTGCCATGATATGTGAAGTCAGAACTCGATGTTGCAATGAAACATAGCGCACCCTATCCCATCCCATATTTCCCTCATGACATTTATGTGGGTGTCAGTAGACATTTGACAGGAGAGCTGGTGAATGGGGAAGGGGGATGTTGAAGTCTGCCAAGATTGTCTTAATTGCCACTCAAATAAGTGTGCCTGGCAGGAAAGTGGCCTGCAGGGGACACTGGCATGGGACTTAAAACACCTGTATTTCCCAGCCATTGATCATCCTCAGCAAGTGCAGTGTCAGCAAACATTTGCTTGGAAATCCATGTTTTGCCAAAATAATATGTATTTCTGTTCTTAGGTTGGGCAGGGGGGAATAATTACTTGGAAATTACTTGGGGAAAAACCATAACAGCTTCCTGGACTGAAAAGCAACCTCTGCAGATAATGAATAACCTGCTTCTAGCATGCCTTGTAAACTCTATTTGGGTGGAAAGGCAACATATAACTGTTTTATATAATAAAAAAAATTATGAGCATAGCGGTCATTCCTAATCTTTTCAAAATGTTGAATACTTGTAGGAAATGCTGATCTGTGCAGGTACAATTAAGTGAAATTTAAACACTTCTAAGATCTTAGTGAAGTTAATGGGTAAATTAAGCAAACCATTCTCTTGTGGGACTGCTGAAAAGAGATCCCAAGAGAATATTTGGCTGTTTATGCCCATGAAATATGGAATTTAGCAGCATTACTTATTACTTAATGTGTGCATTGCCTTTTGAGGCTTTTGAGATGGAGGTTTTTGAGATTATATGCTGAGAAGTAAAACTATGAGATCCAACTAGGGATGCCAGACTCCAGATGGGACCTGGGGATCACCTGGAATTACAGCTCATCTCCAGACCACAGAGATCAGTATGCTTGGAGAAAATGGATGCTTTGGAGAGTGGAGACTATGGTATTGCACCCCACTGAGGTCCCTGTCCTCCTAAGGCTCCATTCCTAAATCCTCGGGACACTCCCAACCTGGATCTGGCAACCCTACCCCCCCTCCCATCCCCTGCCAGTGGCCACAGGGGACCTGGCAACCCTAGATCCAACTGGATGGAAGAGAGAATCAATGCATTTTTTAGTAAGCATTGCAAGGTGGACATTGGGGCATAGGGTCTGTCAGATAAGTATCATGGTAGGTGTGTGGCTGCTGAGTGGCTAGCAGCACTAAGTTCTGGCTGCTGACTTCATGGTCTCTGTGACAAAATGAGGGCCTTAATTAAGCACCAAATGGTACAGTTAAAAAGGAGAAATGCAACTGAGAGAATGAGTTGAGGAGGAAGAGACTGGGAGTGAGAATGATTGGTCACTGCTTGGCTTGCCTGTGATTGGTCAAGGTGGGAACAAATTTTAAGACTGATGAAAGCTGGTTAGAGTCCATTAGAATCTGTTATGACTTGGTTGGGGAAGTTGGGTGAAATGTTATGACTTGGTTGGGGAAGTTGGGTGAAGAGTAAGAGACAAAGAGAAGTGTGAAGGAAAACCAGTTAACATGACTTGGAAGGACTTGTTTAACAGAATGTCTAAGGGAAGTGTATATGGTGGATACAAATGGAATTATACAGTGACAGTAGTTAGAGTCAGCGTTGCTTTCTTCCCCTCAAAATGTGTTGGATCCAGCACAAAATTTCCACTTGGAAGTGGATTTGGTACTATCAACATGATAAGCAGCTGACTGTGACTTTATAATAAATTTATATGGACTATATTGAAATTAAATTGAATTCAGAAAAAGATTATTACTGGAAGAAGATTTAAATAATATTTGAACCAATTTGGATTCTCTGGTTCAGTTTAAACAAACTTTGCTGGCCAAGCTGACTGGCTAAGTTGCTCGCTGGGAACAATGGCTACTTTTCAAGCGATAATGGAAATGTTAAAAGACATTTTTAACACAGATATACTTCCAATACAGTGCAATTTGTATCTCTTAGGGGACCACGTCCATGAGCTTTCTTGTAAATTTGACCAAGTAGAAAGTTTACTGAAACAACTACCAAATAAAGCACAAGATCCGAGTGAGGAACTGAGATTGGAAGAAGTGGAAATATCAGAGACTAAACTGTTTAAAGTGAAAATGAAGAACATATCTGCATGCCTGTCTGAAGTGAAAGAACCACAAGATACCAAGACGGAGGAATGGAAGACAATTTTAAGCATGACTAATACATTATTTTTGGATATAGCAAGTAAACAAAGAGAGAGTTCTACTCCCATACTGAAATACAACAGGAGTAACCTACAATTGTAGAAGATAAAGCGTTGGGAATTCAAGAGGGGGAGAAGGAAAAAAGAAGAAAAGGGGGGAGAACTATTTAAGATGGAGTTCTTACAGTAGGGCAAGTGACATTTAAAAGGGAATTTAATGAGATTAAAGCATATAAAACTTAAGAGAAAGTGAGACCAAAAACTAAATGTTAAAAGAAATGTGTCACAAGGTAGTATTTGTTATTTTAGAAAAGCTCAACATTTTGTAATGTAACTTAAAGATAAATATTAATAACAGCTGTATAGAAGTTCTTCTTTTTCTCTCTTCTTTTGGATAAGGAATGTGAGATCATTTTGTAGTAGTGTAAAGGATGGCTAATGATAACCAAGAAGTTAATTAAGGTTAAATTGAATTAAAATTGAAATTAGATTAAATCTTAAAGAAATATTAGTTATAAGGCATTTCTAGCATTTGTATGTGTTATTTATAACATTCTAAAGATAAACATTATTAGTACCTGTAGGAAAACCTTCATAAGAAATGTATATGATTTTTGTTAGGATTGAGCAATATTTAGTGAGAAATAATTGGGACCAGGATATAGAATAATAATAAAAATGTTAGAGTATATAAAGATGGATTTAGTAAAATGTAATATTAAAGGGATTTCTTTTCTAGGGAGCTCTATTTTAAAATATTATTCCCAGAATGTTTTTGTTACAGAATGGCTACTTATAAGCAGTAGGACATTAAGGATCCATAATTGTATGGGTAAGGATTAGTTTTGTAGTAAATGATTAAGAGGTTATAAGAGATCTGAATATGAGACTCCATAAATATGAATCTAATATAACTCAAATATGATTAATTAATTTGGAATGTTTTCTTAAAATATATTAATAAGGTGATAAGATTTTATACATTTCTTTTAAGAAGTTATAGAATGCTTTTATGACATAAAGGCAACAATATGGGTTTTTGCAGATATCAAGAGATGTATGGGTTTAAGTGATCATATTTAATATAAAGAATTATCTGATTGTATAAGAAGAATTATTAATGTAATGTAATAGTGGATGTAGAACTAATTGTAAGCATTACTTTTTTGTGCCCCTTCCTATTTTCTATCTCTCCACCCCTTTCCCTTTATAATATTCAATAAAATCTTTAAAAAATTAAAGTGTTTAAAAATTAATGAGTTTTCAGTATACAGATTGAAAACTCCATTTCCCTCTTGAGAGTTCCAGCACCTCTTTTTCCCAAAAAAAAAGGGGGGGGGAAGGAGAATGTGTCCAAGTGCCCTGGCCTCAGCCTCCACATGATTGCCTGGTGACATGAAGGGTGTAACTATGTGGAGGAAGTGGCTACTTTCTGAACATTGCTGATCATGGGATGGGGGAGTTTGCACAACCACTTTCATCATATAGTCAGCCCTGCAGATGATCAGGCAATTGTACAGAGACTGGGGGTGTCATGATTCTAGGCCTATAGTAGTGTGGCCTAGAGCAGAGGTGTCAAACTCATTTGTCACGAGGGTTGAATTTGGCATAACTGTCACTTTGTCGGGCTGGGCCATTTCTTTCATAAAACATGATACCAGTTACCGGAGACATTATCTGTATAAAGGACAGTAGCTGGTAAGCTCTGAGTTGGTGTATTCTTGCTGCAAGGCCTCATGGGCTAGGAGGGGGTGCAAAGGAAAACCCATACGGGCGGACTGGTGAGTCAGCAGTGCAGCACTGGGCAGACCCTCCTGCGCTACTTGACTGCTGCACATGAGGTTGTTCTGCCATGCTGAAGCCACAATTGGAGTGGCTCCACCCCCTCCCCTCCCCTCCCCAAGCAGCCTCCTTTCCCCTCCCTTGTATTAGTTGCTCACAGGCCACATAAGAGTCCCCCCAGGTCTTATGTTTGACACCCCTGGCCTAGAGGCTCTAGGGAGACCTAGTGGCTCCAGTAGGGTTGCCAACCCTTCCAGTTTGGCAGGGGTCCCCCGCTTTTTGGGGGGTTCTACCCGCCACTGGCCAGCTGGCCAATGGGGAAACCCTGCCCTTAAGCCTGCAGCCACTTCTTTCCCTTCTCCCTGCACTTAAAGGGGCTCACTTTAAGCGCAGGGAGCTGGCGTTTCCCATGCACCTGATTGACCATGCAAAGCCTTCCAGCTCCCTGCATGTCCATCAGGTGGGTGGGGGGCAGCAATCCCCACTGGGGCCCCTTTAAGTGCAGGGAGCTGGTGTTTCCCTGCATGTCCATCAGGTGGGTGGGGGGCAGACATCCCCAATGTGACATCATCACATTGGGGATGCCTCACTCCCTCCAGGAACACCCCCCAAAATCGCCCGCTGGGGACTAAAATGGACTTGGCAACCCTAGGCTCCAGGGAAGCCTGTACTAGAGTAGCTATCAGGGCTTACATTTCCCAGGTCACCCTTTGGACCCTGTGATTGGCTAACAGGGGATTTGGAGGGAAAACTTACACCAGTAGAATAGTAGAGGGTGTTGCCTGGGAAGAAGTGATAAAAGGCTTTGCCCAAAGTGAGAGGGGGTTCACTCCTAGCAAGCAGAGTTAGTGTTAAGCTATTGCATTTGGAGGGACCCCTCATCCAAAAGAGGTGAGTCAGCTTGAGGCCACATACCTAGAGAAGACTAGGTACAGTATAGTCAGACACGTTAGGGTTTCTTATTTTGCTGGTTTACCTATCTTTACTGTGCTCATTTTCCTACATGTTATTGAATTACAGTTGTTGTTAAATCTCTTTAATAAAAACAGTTTGTTACTCTGCCTGGGTCCTCACGCCTCAATCATTCACTTATAAGGAGGAACCTGCTGGAAAAGGATTGTATAAAGGGGTAGGGTAGGTACTCTGGTGGGCCCTCCCAAGGAGACCCACACCAGAGCGGTGGCAGTCATTAGAGAGTTTTTCTAGCTGCTGTCTGCGACAGGGAGTGAGGCCAGCATACTTACTCAGTGAACACGTGGGGCTGTTGCCTGTACCGGCTAGAGTTTCATCTAGGTATTAGTGAAGGCCATAGCTCTTCCTATTGAGGGCCAACAAAGTATACACCATCAGAAGTGATCATGCAGGAGAAACGTAGAAGTACTGACCTCAGTCTGAAGCTGGCTGTGGGAAAATGTAACTGTTACTAATATATAGAAAATATTCATGTATGTGTACCAAAATGCCCTCTATAAATGAAATTATATAGCAACTATCCAAACTTACATTTTTAGTGTAATGGGCAAGAGAAAACTACGGTTATGACAGCAAGATCAGATGCTTGCTCCAGGCTAGCTGCTTATATAAGTGCTCTAGCAATTACGTTTTTAACTCGCGCAAATCCTGATATTTGCTTGAGGTTTCTGAGTGTGTTGAATTCAGTATTGCTTGCACAGAGTATCCTATTGAGGGTTGCTTTGGCCTATGCTGGACTCAAGATATGATTCACTTACTGCGTAGTGGAATGGGTATTTAAGCTGTTGCATATCTTTCAAGATTAGTATGGAGTTCCTGAGGTGTTTTCAGAAAGTTTACCTCAGTATGCAGCTCTGGCATTGCGCCTGGGAAGGGGGCATTGCTGGTTTGTCAGCTTCACTGCATGCTGTGCTACAAAGTTGTAATGTACTTCGTCAGCTGTTCTGGTGAGGTGGCTGCGATAGTCTTCTACAGAAAAACAAAAATGACTCTTGTACCACCTTAGACTAATGGATTTATTTAAGTATAGATGGATGTTGGGCTACAGTCCACTTCATCAGATATACGAAGCATATTCTCTCTCAAGAGAAATATATACATGGTTAACATTCCCCCCCTTTCCCTGTGCCATATGTACATTGGAGAGCCAGTTTGGTGTATTGGTTAAGTAAAGGTAAAGGTTCCCTTGCTCGAAAGCCAGTCGATTCCGACTCTAGGGTTGCGGTGCTCATCTCCGTTTCAAAGCCGAAGAGCCAGTGCTGTCCGAAGACGTTTCCGTGGTCATGTGGCCGGCATGACTAAACACCAAGGCACACGGAACGCTGTTACCTTCCCACCGAAGTGGTACCTATTTATCTACTTGCAATTTCTTGCTTTCGAACTGCTAGGTTGGCAGGAGCTGGAACTAGAGACGGGAGCTCACTCCATCATGCGGCACACTCGGGTCTCGAACTGCTGAACTACTGACCTTCCACAGCCTGCAGTTCAGCGTCTTAACCACTTCAGCCACCACAGTTAAGTGATTAAGTACATTGACTCTAATCTGGGAGAACAGGGTTTGAGTCCCCATTCCTCCACTTGCAGCTGCTGGATGATCTTGGGCAAGCCATAGTTCTGTCAGAGCTGTTTTTGAAAGAGCAGTTTCTGTCAGAGCTCTCCCAGCCCCACCTACCTCACGGGGTGTCTGTTGTGGGGAGGGGAGGGGAAAGGAGTTTGTAAGGCACTCTAAGTGAAGGGCGGGGTATAAATCCAATTTCTTCCTCCTCCTCCTCCTCATAATCAGCCATTATTCTCATTCACCATGGCTCATGGAGAGTGTGCACATCTGTATATGCTGCCTGGTTATTATATAATTATACATAGACTCTAATAGGTCTTGGGAGTCCAGCTTTCAAGTGCTTATGCTTCAGTAAATTTGTTAAGATGTCACTGATCCCCTTTTTGTTTTCATTACTGGTATTATATTTCACAGTGGCATTTCACCAGGAAAAGACATCTTGTGTCCAGTCCTGAATGTTCATATTCCAGTGACTGAAACATCTCAGGAGCAAGCCTCAGGTCGCCCCCCCCCCGGGTTTTTTTTTACCATTCAACTCTGATGGAAGTCAAAGCATGGGCAAACTTTTAATTTTTTTCATCTTTTCATGAATCTTCCTCAAACATGTTCAGAAATCTGTATGCTGTTTGCAGTGTATGTAAACTGTGATTGTTTGAATAGCATTTACAAAGCCCAAAGGCACTTCTTACAGACATTGTGAGCTTTGAATACTAAAACACTGACAGAGTCCACAGCTGTGTCTCCTTAGGTCAACAGTTCCAGTAAGTGTAGACCACAAGGGATAGTGGGTA